AGCTTTGAGCCCCGACATAAATCATTCATCTTTTCTAAACTTACTTTACCTGTCGGTAAATCTAAGACTCTAATACCTACAAAAATAGAGTTGTTTAAAGAACAAATGAGGTCATTCCTAAAAAGTGTTCTATAAACTGAAAGGTGCTTCACACATAAGGTATGGACCTCTCCAGGATTTTGCACTAAAGTGTGTGCTAAAAGTACAGCTTTTTAAAAACTCCAGCTCCACTCCTATAGCTTTGCTTCTTTCTTAAGTGGATTAAGGTCCCTAAAAATAGCCACACTCCCATAGTTAATATGAGCCAAATTATTTATTGGACACCGACCATATCTTTATCAGGCTAGATCAGTCCACCTATCCACCCTCACCCCACTCCCATTCAGGCTTCTCACTCCTGGTCAAAGATGAGAAACGAAGAAAAACAGCCCACTGGAGGCTTTAGAGAAAGCTGGAGCTTGCAAGGAAGTAAGAATATCAGTGTCCTTTCTGATATGCCACTACTGGAAGATATTCTTCCTTTCTCCTTATTTATATTTGTCATTTGTAGCTCAGAGGCATCCTGCAATTTCCATGATGTATAAAGCCTTCAGTCCTCTCCAATCCATCTGCCCAACCTTCCATTCATTCAGCAAAGGGTTACTGAGTGCCAGGCACTTCCCAGGGCACAGAGGTTATGATAATCAACAAGACAGGGAAAGTCCCTGCTCATGCAGCTCACATGCTAGTGAAGGAGGCTGGCCTCAAAAGTGACCCATGAATAAGTAAGATGGTTTCAAATCATGAAAAATGCCAGTAAGACAACTGAACAGGTGACATAAGAGAAAAGGATGGCACTGGGGAACAGGAGGAGAGGTCCTTCAGATGGGACAGGGAAGCCCTTGCTAACAAGAGGACATTTGAGCTGAGATTCAAATGATGGAAAGAAGCCAGCTATGCGAAATGCATGATAAGCAATGGAAATCGCAAGTGCAAAGGCCCTGAGACAAAAGTGTGATCTATTTGAGGAAAGAAAGGAAGCCAACTGGCCCCAAGATCAGATCAAGAGGTTAAAGAGACAAAGTTAAAGAGGTAGACAAAGGCAGTGTCAATGGCTCCTTTCTCCATGGTAGGAACGTGAAACCCAGAAAAGTTAAATGAGCAACCCAAAGTCATACAACTAATTACTGCTACAGCTGCTTTTAGAACCTAATTATTTTGCCCCCAAATCCAAAGTGTTTTTACACTGTATTGATCTGCTTGCCTCTAGTGAGAGGAATACTATTTGCAGATCTTACTGGTTTTTAAAAGCTCTTAATATACGTAAGCAGCAAGTAAATACCAATTTTAAGCAGAAAATCATCAACAAATGATGCTGACGATTTCAAATGCACATAAATTCTGCTGTGAAAGCTAAGAGTTAGAACCAATCTACTTTCGGTAGGTCCTACATAAACAGTAACACTCTTTATTGAAGGCTCTGTTCCATGAATATACCAAGGCCATCGCTCACCAGAAACAAGCCGTTTTACATTTGGGTCTTGTTTTTACCTACACCTCTTGACAAGGCTTTGCTTAATCCACCGAAATGCCATCCAAACCAACCTATTCTCAAACCACCTTCATTTTGTGCTATTAAATTGTAGGGTAATGAGCCTGTAAGAAAAACATTATAATTATAACTGCCTTCCACGACCCATGAGAGCAGCTTCGCCTGAAAGGTCACGTCTGTTGATAGACAAATCCTACAGTCCAAGTAATGGACTTTCTCCTAATACTTCTGGGTTCCCCTTCATCTTTTCCCTGCTATGCAAATTTGTTCTGTGTAATCCAGAATCTCCAAAATACAGACTCACACTCTGTCCAGTAGCCACTGACTTGTCCACTAGACACGGAAATAAAAATGCTATTGTCTAAATAGGTTAGTAAAGAAAGGAACGAGTAAGGTTGAATTGCTATCTCCTCTCTTCTATCCGCCTCCTATTCCAAGCCCTTTTCTTCTTCATCCTCTCTCTTCTCCTTTTCTTCTTTCCAACAAGCCTCTCCACTTCCTGAGTTCTGGGAACCTTACCAGGCAAGAGCCGAAAGTCCCAGTAAGAAACACAGACTAGAAGAGTGTTTAATAGCCCAGATTCTAATCTTGTCCTACTAGCTGTGCAACCTTGGCCAAGTTACTCAACCTCTCTGTTCCTCGGTTAACTCGTCTGTAAAATTAGGATAATGCCTTCCTCCTAAAATGTTCGTGAAGATTGAATTAATAAATGTAAAGCATTAGACGAGCACCTGGCACATAATTCTATACAGATGTGAGATATGCCACCTCACTCCCCACTGTCTTCCCACCTCCATCCCCTGGCTAGGAAAGACTACTGTCACCCCCACCTTTGGGAACAACTCTGCACAAAGTCAGAACAACTACTGGAAGGCAGATCAGTGGTGTCATGATGGTACTCAGGTGCTAAATGGGACAATAACATTTATACCGTCAGATAAGTACTGTGGAAACAATCGCATGAAATAACGTACAGAAAGCACCTGGCATGCAATGATCGCTCATTAAATGTTATTATTTTTATTGAGTGTTTTTCTTCACTTTTATCGCCATTGGTTGTAACTGAAGGTGCTATGTGCATGCTTTTCTTCACTGTGTCAGGCTGTAAAATGTGTAAAATTCATCTGTGTTTATCACTGTAACATGAATATATAGAATGATGATCATACAGAAATGTATCTTAAAACCCAAGGCCAGCTTCACGAAATCAGTCTTAGAGTGATCCCTCTGTACCAGAGTTCCTTGAAGATCCTGATCCCAGCATTTAGATGGCCGCCCACCTAACACACCCCTTGGATGCCTTGGGGACATGCCCCACTCAACAAGACCTAGACTGAACTCATGAGCTTTCCTTCAAGACTGGCCCTGCCTTGGCTGCCATCCCAGGCGTTCCAATTCCTCCACTTTACCTGCACACATTCTTCACACAAAGCCTGTTGATTTCACGTCCTCCACAGCTCTCCATCTACTTCTCAATGCCCATAGCAACCACCCTGGCCCATGCTACCAATATATCTGGTCCCCCACATCCACAAGAGCCACATAGCACTTGTTTTTAAACTTAGTTCAAATCATGACCCTCCTCATCTTGAAACTCTTCATTGGCTTAAGATAAAGACTATACTCTTTCAACCCCACAGCTCTACTCCACCTCCAACAACACAGGGCTTGGGGGATCTAGCCCTGTGGATCCCCCAGTCATATCTCAAAACACAAGCCCTCTTGCTCTCTGCTAGGGAGAAATGGAAAGCCAAGGCACACTTTTGTATTTCCAGAGATTTCAAATAGAGACAAAATGAAAGGTTTGTGCGGTATTTACAGTATAACAGCAGTTGTTTATAAAAAGGCAATACCTCTTCACTCACTCTTCAGTAGTCATGGGAACCTCCTTTTGGTTCATCAAATACATGTGCCCCCTCTGCCTCAGGCCCTTTGCACTTGCTGTTCCTTCTTCTGCAATGATTCCCCTCCTTCTTAGACAATTAACTCCTACGCCTCCTCCAGGACTAAGTCCGAGTGTCATCTCCTCAGGGAAGCCTTCTCTGGTCCTTGTCAATCTCTTCTATCAGACACTTTCTGAAACCTCTGATGCTCTCCTTCTTGGAACATACATAAACCCTGAATTGCGCATTCCTCCACGCAATGATTGATTTAGGTCTGTCTCCCTCACTGTAAACTCCAAGACAGAGCTTTTGTGTTTCCTGTTCTGGCTGTACCTCCAGTGCCTAGGACAGTGCTTAGCATGTAATAGGTATTTAGTAAGTATGTTTTTCAGGGATTCTCCCCCCAAAAAAGGAAAGGCACACCTCCTTATTTCAAGTAGAGACAAAATAGAAGGTTTGGGCTGTATTTAAGATATAACAATCTTGATGTTTAAAAAAGCCAGTATCTCTTCACTCACTTTTCAATAGCCAGTCAATTCCTAAGACATTTACTCAACAAATAAGAAGGTTTCTTCTTTCCAGTCTGGAGGAAAAGAAGAAATGCGCTCATAAAGAACATTAAACACACACTCACTCCTAATAAACAAATTTCAATCCCAATACACACAGAGGCGTTGCCTAGCCTGACACAGTCGTCAGATGAGCTAAGAGAAATGCTAAAGAGCATTCTTGTCACAACTGGACACACGGTTTCAACTTGTCCTGCTCCCATACTGATCATTCCCTTGGAGCCTTCACATCTGTATGCTAATTACAGATACGGTGGCCGACGCTAGGAACACGCAAATCCCTCTTAATCGCTCCCTTTTGCGTGGATGGAACCTGGTCCAACATTCGTAAAAGCATGCAAACCACACCACGGCTTGGGCGGGCACACTTCGTGCCCCTCCCCGATGCCTTGCCAGCCCCACCCTTCTCACACACCACCCCTCCTCCCACTTCTACTCCGACCTGAGCCTAACTAGCTGCCAGGTTTGGTAATAAGATTGAACGAAGACTCAGGAGGCCCTGTGGGCTCCATTATTCTGCACGCCCTGCGAGAAGGGCCACCCCGAGGGACGGCTGCTGCAACTCGAGCCCCACTTGCTGCCAGGAAACCTTTCCCACTGAGGACACCCGGGCATGCGGCGAAGCTCCAGGTCCAGGGGGAGGCACCCCACCCATCTGCCAGAGAGACAAAGATCACCAGAAACAAAGGACACACACACACACATACACACTCGCACACTCAAAGTCAAAAGCAAACACCGACACTTGCAATTTCAAACCAAACAGTCGGCTTTGGTCTATCTAAATAGATCTGGAGACCATCCAGAGGGACAGTGATTATGTGGTAATGACAGGCACTATCTGGGTTCGGAACCCACGCTGCCTCCGCCCTCCTCCCACCCGCGCTGCAGTTCCCAGGCGCGTTTCCCAGCCTCAGGACACACGCTGCCAGAAGCAAGAGTGCTTCCACTCAAGGAAGCGCGCACACACCAGAGACAGAGGCAGGGCGAGGGCAGCCAAAAGTAGGAAATACCCACCTTTAGGATCCCAGTTCACCTGTTTTCTTGGCGTCTCGATTGGAAATTTCATTGCTCCGTTGCCCAGAAGGGGAAGAAATGAAAAGAACCCAAATAATAATAAAGTCCTCAAGCTTTACACGCCTCGGTTTAGCAGTCCAACAAAACAATTTCCGAGGATGGGGGAGGCTTGGACTGGCTCGTGGAGGAACCCCAGAAAAAGACAAGTGGGAAAATACTGGCTTGGGAGAGAACTGGAGACGGCTTGGGTGTTTGCCCCAGGTAGGGGGTGGCCGGCCGCGGCCCCGTGGGTAAAAGAAAAAGTAAGATCGGCGAGGGGTGGATGAAAGGATGGAGAGAAAGGCTTGGGAAGATGGAAGAGCCAAGCAGCTTCCCAAAAGCGGGGCCGGCAGGTTAGGGGCTGAGCCGCCGGAAGGCTGGGGCTAGGGAGAAGCCCACTGCAGTGTCACTCCAGCCCCTGAAGGCGTGTGCGCACACACTCCCGCACACACACACCCGCACACACACTCCCGGGCGCGCGCTTGGGCGGGCACGTCTGCCTCGCTCGGCCGCGCCGAGCGCACACGCCCCACCCCGGCCGCGGCTCCTCGCCCCCGGCGACGCCCCCCACTTCCCGCTCCCAGAAAGCCATTGGATGTAGGGGTGGTGCGGCTCCCGCGGAGCGCGCGGCGAGGGCGACCCTCCCCGCGGCCCGCCGCAGACGCCGCGCCACGGCAGGAAGGAGCAGGGCGCGCAGCGGACCGAGGCGCCGGGCCGGGAAGGCGCGCTGAGCCCCCGGAGCCCGGCCCAGGGCAGCAGGAGGTGGCCGCGGACTGGCCCGCGGGGCGGCGGGAGGCGGTGGGCGGCGGCGGCGGGGAAGCCGCGGAGGGGCGGGGAGCGAGCGGCGGGCGCGCAGCTACTTACTAGCTTGGCCGGCCGGCGGACTGGCGTGAAAACGGCCGCGGCGCGCTCGCTGGAGTTGCAGCCGGAGACACGCTTGGCTGCCTGGAAGGCGCTGCGGGAGGCGGAGGAAGGGCCGCTGCGGCCCCGCCGCAGACCTCAGTCTCCGGGTCACCTCTTGTCACCGCTCCCACCCTGGGGTCTCCCTCCTCCTCTTTTCTCACTTCATTTTTTTCCTCCCATCTCCTCCCTCGCCTGGTTCTCTCGCCTGAGCTCCGAACCCACGTCCCCGCCGCACTCCGAGGAGGCCCGTGCCACCCATGAGCCTTTTGTTCTGGGACCACTCCCCGTCTGCTGTGCTCTCCCCGCCCGGGGAAGCTCGCTCCCTAAGCGCAGCTTGGTCCCTTCCCCAGCTACCTGCAGCCCGACTGGGACCACTGGTCGATGGCTGGAAAGGGGGCTAGAGGGAGGCACGGCGGCCCCAGAGGAAAGCGGAGTTGCCAAGATCCGTCAGCTCCAGGAAGCGGCGGAGGACCCAGCCGGGCAGATGCGAAGGGACCCAGACCTGTTCCCGGAAAGGGGCTAAACCTGGAGCATTCATCTCATGCCCTCTCACTGCCCCTGCTTGAAACCCCACGGGGGTTTGTGGTGGAGCCTCAGTCTCCAGAAAAGCCAAGTGGTGATGAGGTGCTCTTGAATGGGTCACTCAGAGTATCAACATGAATAATGCTGACAAATTCCTTCGGATACCTCACAGCCGAGCCTTACACGTAGTAGATGCTCAATAAATACTTGCTAAATGAAGACATGAATTGCATGCTGCAGTGTTGGATAGGAAGTAGTTTAAACCGCTACTCTGGCTTCCAGAGAAGGTTGCCAAACTTTGTTGCCCATTCAGTATACACATTGAACCCCTTCCAAGTGTCATCACTGTGCTAGGTGCTGGCCATATGGCAGAGAACAAGATAGAGATCTTGCCTTCATGTCGTTTACTATCTAGTGCCATAAAGTCCTGTTAGATTGTTGTTGCCTTTACTTACGCATGGAAATTGTCCGGTTCATTCCCATGCCTGCCACCTGAGGTCCTAAAAAATCCCACACTAGCAGCTGATCTCTGAGTTGCAGGCCACTCTAGGGCACCTTGAGGCTTCTGGAGAGCGCTATGTCAGCAGCATCTTTCTAACCATCCATCCCTCACTATAACATCAAGGTTTCTGAGTCCAAGGGCAAGACCTACAGTGGTCCGCTGTGGTCTGTGGGAAAGGTTGAGTGCCTTGTCACTGGGCTGTCACAGGCAGCCCAGGCTGGAGCCCTGAATTCTCTGCCACCCCCATTCAGGCAAAACCGGTACCAATCTGATGTTGCTGCTCTGACTCTTCAGCATTTGGGCAGGTTCCCTGGGTGCTTCAGAACCCATCTTCCCTGGACTCTGTGACCACACTTTGCCTCTCTCTGCTAGGACTGGGAGGATGGATAAGACATAGACATGAAACGAACAAGGAATCTCTGCTTCTCCCAGCCATCCCCCAAAACACCAGTGTGTATGTAAATTCTGTTCTCAAGTCCAGAGGAAGCTGCTTCTAAGAAAGGCTTTTGAGCCTCACTCTGCACTCTTCTCTTTAACTGTTCATGGGCAGCTGGACGCTAGCACAATCACTGCAATACAATGTTTTTGCCTGCATTAGAGTCAGAGAGGTGTTTCAGCAGAGAAAGATACCCTCTCCTGAATCCTCAGAGCATGGGGAAGCAAGATTGGCATTGATTGAATTTCCCCTCACCATCTCATATTTCCTCTCCATTCATCTTTGCTACATCCTTTTATAGATGAGAAGATCAAGGCTCACAGAGATAAAGAAACACTCCCAAGGTCACAATATGGGGATTCAAACCCAAGTTTGTATGACACAAAGGCCCATGCTCTCCATGACAGAACCTTGTGAGCTCCTCTAGTTTCCAGACCCATGAATCTGACCCTGAACCTGTCAGATGGGTTCGTTTGGGTAATGAAGATCTGAATGTGATATTTTCTAAGCCTCCAGGCCCTCATCCTTTGCAAAATGAATTGACTTATTGTTGTGTTCTGGGGTCTGTATCAGGGAATTAGTTCACCGTCCAAGGCAAATTCCTGTGGCATGAAATACAGCCTTAGGATGCAACATCATTCAGCCAATCAACAAACATTTATTGAGCATCACTTGTATACAAGTGGGTTGCAGGTCGTCATTGAAAGTTATTTTGGGCCCTCGATAGTGATGACCTTCCCCAGAATGGTATCAGCAGGATGGTTATGAGGGGAGGTCTGGGAATGGGGAGGTTGGTGTCGTCTCGATTAGGGTAGGGAGCAGGATCAGTGCCTCGTGCTCCTGGTCTTCCTTGAAGACTTGCACTAGTCGTTGGCCCTTAGGACGATCTCTCTGCTTAATCACTGGATGCCGGCCCCTCCTTTCCTTTCCCCACCTCCAACCTCTGGAGCTTTCTCCCACCTCAACTTTCATTCTCCCTTCTCAGAATGTAGACAAAAACAAGTTTGTGACCCCTCCCAAAAAAATAGTCCACCAAAATTAGGCAAATAAATCCCAGTACTGTTTCCCACAGCGTGCCTGAAATCAAACACAACTCCTCCTAAACTGCGTGTTTAGAATAGACTGCACAGAGTGAGGATAGAGGGAGACCCCCTCCCTAGAAAACTTAGCCCTTTGGCCTACTGCAATCCCCTTACATCCCTTTCGATTCTGCCCTTTGGTTATTTACAGGCTGGACTTCACTTACCCAAGGAAGAAAAGAAGTCGTCTGTGTAGAGAAAAAACCTCTAGGAAAGATGCCGCGCCAAGCGGTTCCCTCTCCCTCTGCGCCGCCGCAACTTCCATGGCTATTGCTTCAGGCGGGTTAAGTCCGGTGGAAAGAGATTGCCTGGCGTTCCTGCGGCAGGAAAACAAAGCATCGTGGCGCAAAATCTCCCTGCACTCGCCGTCCCCCAGCGGGAGCCCCGGGCTGGCAGCCGCCGCGTCCTGGGTGCACTCGGTGGCAAAGCGCTGCTGGCGGGCGCATGGGTCTCTGCAGCTCAGAACCTGCCCGGCCAGGAGCGCAGCAATAGTGGCCGCACCACTTTAATGAGCGCCCTGTGGCCCGGCGTGGGAAGGCTGGGAAAGCCCGAAAACCCCAGTCATCTCTGGCGATGAAGTTTCCCCGAGTTGGCTGGCTCCCTTACCCCCTCCCCACGCTGCAGCCCCGGATGGCTGTGAGACCGGAGGAGACACTACCTGCCGCGTGGGGAGTCCTGGGTGGCTGGCAATGAACAGCTTAGCCAGAGAAGAGTGGAATGCGGATTCCAGGGCGAGGCAGGAGAATATCCTGGGACAGCGAATGGCAGGAGTGATGAAGCAGCTTGGGGAATCCTGTTTGATGCCAGTTTTGCAAACAGAAGAGGGAGGAAACAATCTGATTAGCATCTAATTTGAATTCACGAATATTAGACTAGATTCATTAATCTGCCTTGGATTCTTTCCCTAAAGAAAGAACTAAAGTTTCATCCTTCTTCCCTGAAGTCCAGAAGATATCCCAGTCTTCCATCTTTTCCTCACCCCCAAGACATCTGCGAGTCCTCTTCTCAAAATAACTGCAGTCAGGTTTCCACGTCATTTTGTGAAAATAACCCCCCCCACACACACACACATACCCTCCTTCACCACACACACAAACACACACGCACACACACACACGGAGAGACACACAAACATCCCCTTCATTTACCCACTCAATAGTAGTAAAACTGATAGCATTATACACTAACATTACCTTAATGTGTCCCACAAGAAATGTTCTTTTCCCCAGCGAAGTTTCCTCATTGGTCTCAGTGTTTAAGCATGCCTACATTTGTTTTCTAGTCCCAACCGACATCTGCAAAAACACACCTTTAAATATATGTTTCTCTAATCCTGGGCTCTGCTTTTGGCTTGGAAAATCTAGAGACACATCAGAAGTGAAAGGACAGAGGGTGTCATATGTCAAACTCCTGGAAGCACGAAGCTAGGCTGCTGGATAACTAACTCTGTGCGTGTAAGTCCTGCAGATTTATTTTGATGACTCAAACCTCTAATTGGGGATTAACGAGGATAATATACTGTAAACTCCAAAGAAGTTGTAATTAAAGTGTCAGGCTGATGGACATATTTC